CCCAGGACAGCTCAACAACCAGATTGTATAGTGACCCCTCTCCCCCCACACCCCCCGGAAAGGCCGTCTCCCCACGCACCGCCAGGTGCTCGGAGGAGGAAGCCGTTTGTCCCGGGGCAGCGTCACGTCCCAGGCTGGCTTGCGGGGCTCTGCGGTGAGAGGATCTGTGCCCAGCAGCAGCTGATGCAGGTGCCAGGTGGAGCCTCTGGCCCAGCCCGGCTGTGGAGTCCTCGGGCATACCTGATCTCAGGCAGGATTTTCCTGGGCTGATGTGGCCCCACATTCTTGTCTGGCCACGCAGGGCCTGACAGGAGGTAGGCTCTGGGCACTGCGCCACACGGCACCCAGCCCTGCTCAGGGAGAACTGTGGACTTCTACCACTGGGCAGTATGGGGGCTTCCGCACCTCGTTGTGGGGCTGAGGTGCAGCACGACACCAAGCAGGGCAGGGTTAGAGCCTGGGCCAAATCTGGCAGCTTCCTCTCCCTGGGAGAGTTGGAGAGGTGTGTGGATGGCCATCTGCTGCCTCCAGCTCTGTCTCCAGCTCCTGCCCCCCATCCTCTCCTCCCACCACTGCCACACACTCATCCTGCCCCTCCACCTCCCACCGCCCCCTCAGCCACTGGCCTGACCAGCCCCCCCTAGTTCCCAGCCGACACAGGAACCTCATGGAGGAGCAACGGCTCCAGGCACCTTACTCAGCGTCCCTTGGCCCATGCCACCTGCAGGGCTGGCCGGGTCTGGGCCGTCACGCCTGTCTCCGTACAGCAGCGTGTCTATGTACTTAAAGAGCTAAACCACATCAGGCTGCCCTGCTCGCGGTTGGGACGCCCCCGTTTCTCAGTTGTCATTTTATTTTCTGTATAAAAGTGACGGTCTGTTTCCCTGAGCGCTGCTGGCTGGTTTTTCCCATGAGCTATACGCAGGGGCTTCCTGCCTGGCCAAGAGGAGAGCCTGGCCCTGAGACAAGCCAGGGCAGCTCCTGGCCACAGCTCCCAGCAGGGGTAGGCGCCCGCCCGGAGGAAATGGGGATAGCGGCCCAGCTACAGTGCGGGGGCCAGCCCTGGCGCCAGCGGTAAAGGGCAGAATGGCTTTGCCCTGCCACTGACAGGTGAGGGAGCCCAGCGCTCCCTGGGCCACAGGCTGGGCAGCTGATCCTGCAAAGGGTGGGGTAGGGCTCACTAACCCACAGCCTGGGGGGTGGGGATGCCACCCAATGCACTTGAGGGCTCCAGCGTGGCTGGGGAGCCACTGGAAGAGGCAGGCTGCGGGAGAGCTCTGCCTGCGAGCGGGGATGGGGGGGGTTGGCTGGTAGGAGATAAAGGAAGCTCAGGCCAGGGGGGCAGAGCTGGGCCTGTCCCCAGGGAGTGGGGTTAGGTGGTGTGACAGGAGGGGGGGAGAATAGGGCCATGCCTGGGGACAAACTGCCCTGGGCCAACACGCAACCTGGGTCCAGCACAAGCCCCTGGCTTGGGCAGTTTTCCTTTGGCCCAGCCAGACGCTGCTGAACCCTCCCCCTGGCTGAGGAGCGTCAGCTGGAGCCCGCAGCCAGCCCTCTGCCCCCAATGCATGGGGCTGTCGCTGGCTGGGCCCAGCCTGCAAGGAGGTGCCAGGGCCAGCTCACAGCTGTCACTGGGCCCCTAATGCGCCGCTGAGGCAATGGCCCGGCCTGGCCTTGCTGGTGTGGCTGCAGCAGGAGTGCAAGCAGGCTGAGCTGCAGGGCCATGGGGGGAGGTGGGCAAGAGATGCCCGGGCAGGGCATCGGGGGTGCATGGCCCAGCAGCCTCCAGCCAGGACTAGGCACCCATGTCCCAACTGGGCTTGATCAGGGCAGGGAGCCTGAGAAGCAGCAGCAGGTGCCACTGCAGAGCCCCAGAGCCAGCTCCGGGGCAGGAGGAACCAGAGGCAAGTGGGTTGGGCTAGGAGCGCAGGGCCCGAGGTGGGTAGCCCAGGTGCCACCATGGAGGGAGAAGCCAGGCTGGACTAGTGGAGATCATCCCTGCAGGAGAGGGGGAGCTGCCAGGGTGGGAGGAAAGGGGGGGCAGGTGCTGACTCCTGGCTCTGGAAAGAGTTGGGCATGGCTGCCACCACAGCTCTTTCCGCCGCAAGCAAGCGCCCCTCCTCCCTCGCTGGGGTTTGGTGTAGAACCAATTCCACTGGAGGGGCCAGGGCCGGCTGTGAAAGGAGGCCTCTATGCTGGGCTGGGGGGGAGCTGTAGTTCAGAGCTGCCTCCCCGCCCAGCACTGAGCTCCTTTCATACATTAAAACAGCCACGTGCCAGGGCTGCACAGGGCCCCAGCTCAGACATACAGCTGCGTTCCTGCTGGCAGCAGCACGCCAACCCCAGCATCTCCCCCCCCCCCGCGGGCCCCCCCCAGCTCCCTGCCGCAGGGAATTCCAGGAACTGGGGAACAGCGTGGAGCTGCTGGTTCCCAGAATGCGATGCTGGGGGCTCCCTGCTGCAGGGCCCAGGGAAGGGAACAAACAGCCCAGCCAGCCCCTGGCTCAGCAGCAGCAGTGCCTGCAGGAGACCAAGGGAACCCTGCGGCCATCACCAGGGCAGGCAGGGAGTCTCAGCCCCATAGCTGAAGGGAGCACGTCCAGGGGGCCAGTCCCTCACTGCCGCAGCAGCCTGCCAAGGGAGCGAGTGGGGCAGGTCTCCCTAGTGAGGAGCCGGAGGGGAGCACTCCGGCCCCCAGTGCTCAGGCAGCTGGGCTTGAGGCTCTGAGGGACAGGTCTAGGCCCAGGGGAAGAGGCTGGCCAGGACTGACCCACATGCCCCCTCCTGGCAGAGGCCAGGGCTTGGTTCAGACCCGGTACCGCAGCCCCCCTCCCCGTGGCCTGGAGAGCAGCAGATGCAGAGCCTGGAGCCCATGCCGTGACTGGAAGTGATTTGAGCAGAACGCCGCTGGCCAAGTCCCAGAGCACGAACTCCCCCGGCCCCCACTGAAACAGCCACAGCTGCAAGCAGTGCTGGGGCAGACAGCCGGAGTGCAGGAAGTGCGGACACCAGCCTCCGCACTTCCCCCTGGCCCCATGCAGCAGCCGACATGTGGCCCTAATCCTGTGATGACAGGAGCCCCCGCAGCCCAGAAGGGAGATGCTGTGCCGGTGACCACAAACCCCACCGTGATCCCCGAGGGGGGCCAGAGCCCAGCCTGCCCTCCTCAGTGCATGGCTGGAGCCAGTGGACCAGCTGCTGGGGGGTGCGTCTCCACAATGCCCTGGGCAAAGCTCCGTCACCTGCCCTCGTCTGGCTCTGGCTGACTGCAAGGGGAGAGCCCTCACCCTGCCACAGGTGAGGGGCTGCCCAGCCCAGGAGTGGCCCTGCCTAGCTGCAGCTGGATGCAGACTCCCTCAGGCTCAGGAGGGAAGCAAGAGCCATGGCCGACGGTTCCCCATGAGAGGTTTAATGGGGATGAGGGAAGCAGACAGCAGCCACCCCCCCCCATGAGCCAGTTCCAGGACCAGCCCCGCTGGCTGGGGCATTTCAGGCTCTTGCAAAGGCCGAGTCTCCTCTGCACCGCCCCGTGTTGCAGCAAGGGGCCTCCTGCCTGTCACCCCGAGCCTCTGGCTCGGCTCGTGTGCTTCAAGCCAAGTCCACGGCGCCCCTGCCAGCTGGGCAGCTCTCTACTCCGTGACCTCAGGGCTGACGTTCACCAGCAGCATGTCATGGCCGCGGCGCACGAGCAGGGCCAGGCTGTTCTGCGTCCGCACGGCCTCGTAGATGTCCTCTGCACGCCGCACCGTCTGCCCATTGATCTCCTGCACAACGTCACCCGCCTTCAGGCCTGCCCTGTCGAGAGAGCAGACACCAGCGTCCTGGGGGTCCGACAGTGATGCATGCAGACCCGCTCTCCCCAGAGCCCTGCCCCAGGCAGACGGGGATGGGGGCATGGCCCCACCTAGAGCAGTTGGCTGGCTCTGGGTTGTGGCTCCCCTGGTAAAGCTGCAGTGTATTGACGTGAGGGCAGCCCTCCTGGCACGGACAGGGTTAACCCCGTCAGGAACACGCTGGCTGCTGGTGCGGGCTGCCTGGGGCCAGGGGATGGGCACTGAGTCCACAGTGAGCACCCCGCGTTCTGGGCCCCAACCCCCCCCTCCCCTCCCCCAGCAGCACTTACTGGTGGGCTGGGGAGCCAATGATCACCTTGTGGATCAGGACCCCATACGAGACATCAGGGAAGCTGGAGTCTCGCAGCTTCAGCTCGGCCAGGATACTGCAGAGAGAGAGAGAGAGCGCGTCACTGAAACACCCCCCAGCCAGGGGCTGAGGACACCGTGTCCCAGCACTGGAGGGCGCTGGAGCAGCCTCACCGGGCAGTCAGCTCCTCGTGGGGAACAGAGCACGAAGCCACCAGGTGGGACTCTGCCCAACCCTACGACCTGGGAGAGACCCTGGCAGCCAGGCCTGCCTCGCCCCAGCCACACCGAGGGGACAAGGAAGCAGAGTTCCTGCCCCGCCCTGTGTGCCCACTGGCACCCAGGAGCAGACCAGTTCCCCAAGGACAAGGCAGCCGGAAAAGAACGTGGGAGATGTCAGGTAGAATCAGAGCCAGCCTGCGCCCGGCCCAGTCGCCCATCCCTGAGAACAGCCAGCAGCAGCCCTGCCATAGGGAGGCCAGGTTAACCTGCCCCAGGAAAGTCCCTTCCTGACCTGGCAGCAGGCAGGTTCTAGCTCTGCCACACTCATCACTGCTCAGCCGGTGCTACTCTAACGCTGAGCTGGGCCATTGTCTCCTGCCCCTCTCCAGGACTCAGCCCTGCTCCCCCAAGGGAAAGCAGACTCGCCAGCACACGGAGCACACCGGCGCCATCTCCTGGACACCAAGAGATGCAGTTTAAGAAATCAACCACCACCATTCACCCCAATTCAAGGAGACGCAAGTGGCATCTCCCCTTCCAGCACCCCAAGAAGGGGATGTAAAAGACCAAGGGCACCAAGCGGGATCCTCAGGCCTACCTGGAAGCAGGACTCAAGAGCAGAGCATAAGCTCACAGCGAAGGCGGCAGCAGCACCCGTCCCCATCCCCTGGGGGGAAGACGCCTGCTGGTTCATGCCGTGGCATTGTTTTGTTGGACCACCACACTACTAACCCCACTAACAGACTGAGCTTTGAGAGGCAACTAAAGGTACATCCCAAGGCCCAGCCAGCCAGGCAGCGAGAGACCCACAAAGTCCCTTATGCAACGGAGCCTGAAAGCTCCAGCCTGCCAAGACACTTCAAGGCTCAGCAGGCGCACACAGGTATTCCAGTGCCACCCTTCGGAGCACTGCCAGGGGCTGCCTGCCTATGGCATCCCGGAGCACGCGGTAGAGCAGAGCATGGGGAATGCAGAACCCTGGTCACCTGCCATGGAACACAGGATCTGACTATTGTTGCTGCTGCCTGGCGATTTCCCATAACCCCAAATGGGCCATCTGCATTCCTCCAGAATGACACAACTTCTCCTTATTTGCTGTGCGAGACCATGGCCGCCTGTGGTGGCAGAGTAAATCTAGAGATGCCTGGTGTTGGGCAGAGATGAGAACAGCTCTCTGTCCAGCTCAGCTAAGAGACGGCTGGGGCATGGCAAATACTAAACTAATTGGCCTGGGGTGAGGTGGGACCCAGGAAGGCTTTCCCAAATGCAGAGGCAGAGGCAGAGGCAGAGGCAGAGGCAGAGGCAGAGGCAGAGAGAGAGAGAGAGAGAGAGAGAGAGTGTGTGTGTGTGTGTCACACACACACACACACACTCTCTTCTCCAACTTGCTTTCCTGAGAGACTCTGGCCCCCAGGAAAGCCCTGGAAGCATTTTCTGGCCCCAGGCCCAGGACACATACCTGGGGGTCAGCGTTAGCATCATCACCCCAATGTAGCGGCGCTTCACCTCCGTGCTGCCGAACCAGGAGCCTGCAAGAGGAAAGGGAACCAGGTCTAGGAGGCCCAAGAAGGGACCTGTGTGAGCACCCTCCCTCACCCTCCACAGCACAAGACCAGTCCAGCTGGGTCACTCCTCAGCCTGCTTACCCAGGAGAAAACCATGCCCCACCCCAGGCTGCAGCCTGCCACTCCCATCCCACGCATCCATCCCATACAGGGCAAGTATCATGTGGGGAAACCGCGGCTGGGAGAGCAGCGACACCCCAGATCATTGCCAACATCCTAACTGCAGCTGCTCTGCCATCCGGACCCACCACACAGACTGGGGCTGCCTTTGTATAGAGAGCCCGGATTCTGGTCAAGGCCCTGAGTAGAGCCCCAGAGCACCCTGCCAACCCATAGGCAGAGAGAGACCCAAAGTCAGAGTTTAAGGCCAGATCAATCTAGTCTGACCTCCTGTACATCACAGGCCACTGAATTTCACCCAGTAACCCCTGCATTGAGCCCAAGAGCTTGTACATATGAAGGGCTACTGAGCCAGACCAACGATCCATCTAGCTCAGTATCCTGGGTTCTGACGCTGACTGGTGCCAGACGCTTCAAAGGGAACGAACAGAACAGGGCAATTAGCAAGTGACACATCCCGTCATCCAGTCCCAGCTTCAGGCAGTCAGAGGCTAGGGACACCCAGAGCAAGGGGCTGCGTGTCCCTGACCATCCTGCTAATGGCCACTGATGGACCTATCCTCCAGGAACTTATCGAACTCTTTTCTGAACCCTGTAATACTTTTGGCCTTTACAAAATCTAGTGGCAGCAAGTTCCACAGGTTGACTATGTGCTGTGTGAAGGAGGTACTTTATATTTGTTTTAAACCTGCTGCCAATTAATTTAATTGGGTGACTCCTGGTTCTTGCATTATGTCAACGGTTAAATAACACTTCCTTATTCACCTTCTCCACACCATTCATGATTTTATAGACCTCTATCATCTCCCCCTCAATCTTCTCTTTTCTAAGATGAACAGTCCCAGTCTTTTTAATCTCTCATATGGAAGCTGTTCCATACCCCTATGTTGACCTTCTCTGTACCTTTTCCAATTCTAATATTTTATTTTTGAGATGGGGCAACCAGAACTGCACGCAGTATTCAAGGTATGGGCGTACCATGGATTTTATAGTGGTATTATGATATTTTCTGTTTTATTATCTATCCTTTTCCTAATGGTTCCTATCATCATTAGCTTTTTTGACGGCCGCTGCACATTGAGTGGATGTTTTCAGAGAACTATCCACAGTGACTCCCAAGATCTCTTTCTTGAATGGTAACAGCCAATTTAGACCTAATCATTGTATAGGTAGAGTTGGGATGATGTTTTCTAAGGTGCATCACTTTGATTTATCAACACTGAATTTAATCTGCCACTTTGTTGCCCAGTCACCCAGTTTTGTGAGATTTTGACTTTGTAACTCTTCAGTCTGCTCTGGACCTATCTTGGGTAATTTTGTATCATCTGAAAACTTTGCCACCTCACTGTTCACCCCCTTTTCCAGATCATTTACCAATATGTTGAATAGGACTGGTCCCAGTACAGACCCCTGGGGGATACCACTATTTACCTCTCGCCATTCTGAAAACTGACCGTTTATTCCTATCCTTTGTTTCCTGTTTTTTAACCAGTTATTGATCCATGAGAGAACCTTCCCTCTTATCCCATGGCTGCTTGCTTTGCTTACAAGCCTTTGGCGAGGGACCTTGTCAAAGTCTTTCTGAAAGTCCAAGTACACTATATCCCCTGGATCACCCTTGTCCACATGTTTGAAGACTCCATCAAAGAATTCTAGTAGATTGCTGAGTCATGATTTCCCTTTACAAAATCTGGTGACTTTTCCCCAGCAAATTGTGTTCATCTCTGTGTCTGATAATTCTGTTCTTTACTACAGTTTCAACCAGTTTGCCTGGTACAGAAGTTAGGCTTACCGGCCTGTAATTCCAGGATCACCTCTGGAGCCTTTTTAAAATATTAGTATCACGTTGGCAATCCTCCAATCATCTGGTACAGAAGCTGATATAATCAATAGGTTAGATACCTCAATTAGTAGTTTTGCAATTTCGTATTTCAATTTATTCAGAACTCTTGCGTGAATCCCATCTGGTCCTGTTAATGTTTAATTGATCAGTTTGTTTCAAAATCTCCTCTATTGACACCTTAATTGGGGAGGGATAGCTCAGTGGTTTGAGCATTGACCTGCTAAACCCAGGGTTGTGAGTTCAATCCTTGAGGGGGCCATTTAGAGTTTTGGGGATTGGTCCTGCTTTGAGCAGGGGATTGGACTAGATGACCTCCTGAGGTCCCTTCCAACCCTGATAGTCTATGATTCAATCTGGGACAGTTCCTCAGATTTGTCATCTAAAAAGAACGGCTCAAGTGTTGGAATCTCCCTTACATCCTCAGCCGTGCAGGCCAATGCAAAGAGTTCATGTAGCTGTTCTGCAATGGCTTTATCGTCCTTGAGTGCTCCTCTGGCACTTTGATCGTCTAGTGGCCCCACTGATTGTTTGGCAGACTTCCTGCTTCTGATGGGTTTAAATTTTTTGCTGTTTGTTTTTGAGTCTTTTGCTAGTTGCTCTACAAATTCTTTTTAGGCCTGTCTAATTGTACTTTGTGTTTGACAAAGGCATCCAGAAAGGCATTGCATCTGGATTTAAAGACATCAAGTGATGGAGAATCCACTGCTTCCCTTGGGAGTTTTTTTTTTAAATCTGAATTTGTCTGGCTTCAACTTCCAGCCCCTGGTTCCTGTTCTGCCTGTCTCCGCTAGATTAAAGAGCCTGTTAGTGCCTGGCATTTGCTCCCTGTGCACGTGCCTAGCCACTAATCAGGTCACCTGTATTTATTGCTTTTATAAAGAGCTCAGTTTGTTTAACTTAAATCTCTCACTGCAGAGCATGTTCTCCAGCCCTCAAACCATCTGTGGCTCTACTCTGTAACAGCTCCAATTTTTTGATGTCCTGTTTAAAATGTAGGCACCAGAACTGAATGCAACATTTCAGTATTGGCCCCGGCAACCCTTCTGGAGCCCTGGGGTGCCACTTATCCAGCCTGCTGCTTTGAAAGAGGTTCTCCCTAGCAGCCGCTGTTTAACATCCTTCTCACTGGTGAGTTAAGTCTTGGAGGGGTTGCACCCAGACAACATGGGCTGAGTGTCTCTTTCCTATTGCCCCACATAGGCGCCAGGGAGCAGGTGGGCACTCACGGCCTCTTACCACTCAGTCCCCTCATACCAGGATGGGAGAGTTCCCTGGCCCCCGAGCCCTGGCCCCTTTGCAGTCAGGGGCACAGCTGCTAAAGCCTGAACAGCAGAACTGCACTGCCTTTTCTCAGAAGACAGATGGGCCCCAGCTCCCTTCTCCAGAACCCAGCTGTGTTCCATCCCTTCCGGCCCCCCTGCTACCATAGCTGAGAAGAGGAGAACCCGCCTGCAGTGGAGGGGGGCTGGGGACAGCTCAGAGAGATGGTGTCTCTGCCTGGAAGGGCCCCTCAAGGGGACAGGCTTTTCCCTTGGACTCTGACGTGCCGGGAAGAGGTTGAGGCCCAGTCCTCTGCCAGGGATAGATGAGTGACAGCCCCAACAAGGAGTCTGGAGTGGGTGCTCCTATCCCCCCCGCCCCCCAGCTCTGCTCCACTCCCTCTGCCTGTATCTCCCCTGCACCAGCTCACTCACTCTTGCGCTGCTCCCCCTTCTGCAAGAATTCCCGCAGCCGGTCCGAGGGGATGGCGAAGGAGATACCCGAGGTCACCTTCATTGTGTTCACCCCAATCACCTCGCCGTCCTGCCGGGAGACAGTCACCATGCAAGCCAAGCAGGGCACCAGCCTGCCCCACTGCCATCCCTCCTGCCCCACAGTTTGCCCCCTTGCAAGGAGAAGAGGGACATGGCGCCAGGCAGGGCTCAAGCCCAGACCATCCAGGCTTCCACCAATTTGCTCCCAACACACACTTGGCTGGGGGTGGGTCAGGTGGTGATACTCTCACAGGAGTGAGCGGGTCCCACTGGCTGTGGGGGCCATGCAGCCCTTCCTCTGTGCCTTATAAGTACCAGACCCGGTCCAGTTACCCCCAGGCTTGGCGTGTGGCTCCGTTCAGGTCAGAGCCCCCTGGGCTGTGGGCAGGGCCTGGGAGATGAGCAACTTGGGTCAAGCTGCTGCCTCACCCGTCCCACCAAGAGTCTGAGCCAATGCTCACAGTGGAGTACGAAGGGCCCCAGCTGCCCCATCGCTGTCCTCCCTGCTGGCAGCATGAGGTGGACACCCCCCTCCCACAGAGCAAATGAGATAGGGCTGGAGCACCCAGCCCAAACGGGCACCACATTCCCTCCCAGAAACGGCTAACGCCCAAATGGCAGCACTTACCAGGTTGACGAGGGGGCCCCCTGAGTTCCCGAACTGCAGCAGGAGAGAGAGGAGGAGAGTCAGACCCCAGCAGCGACATTCCCACTGGGGGGCAGAGACAAACCCCGGAGAACCTGAGGTGGTCAGTAACATGGGCAGCGAACAGAGCCCCTGGGGAAAATAACCCAGATCCCCTGCCTCGCGCCCCCTCCTGCTTTCCAGCTCATCCTACAAGGTCCCTGCCGAAACCTCCGTACATGCAGGCCCCCTTCCCCGGCTCCCCCCTCCACCCCAAACAGCAGCAAAATTCTTCTGAAGGTACAACAGAGTGGCTTCAGCCAGGCCCCCCACTCCACTCCCCAGCCCCCCACTCCCCTTACATCTATGGCGGCGTCGGTCTGGATGTACTCCATGTTGGAATCGGCCAGGCCCAGCTCCTGGCTGCCGCGCTGGGCAGAGCTGACGATGCCGGAGGTGATGGTGTTCTGCAGAGCAAAAGGGCTGCCCATAGCCACAACAAACTCACCTTGACGCACCTCTGAGGAGCGACCCAGGGGTAGCGTGGGCAGAGGTTGCTGGGGGGAGAGAGAAAGACAGGTCAGCACAGCTCCAGGGAATGCCCTGCGGGCAGCCAGCGCAACAGCATTGCAGCAGCAGCAGGCTGAGAATTCCCTGCCCTCTGGACTGATGAGGCCAAGAAGAAAAGGCTGCTAGCCCCTGGCTGCGCACCTGGCTCCCCACACACCTTGGGGTTGATTTTGATGGTGGCGATATCTGCCACCTGGTCGACCTCACGGACCACGGCATCGTAGAGCTCTCCGCTAGCCAGCTTCACCCGCAGCCGCCGCCGATTCGCCACCACATGGGCATTGGTCACGATGAGGCCATCCGGGGACACCACAAAGCCAGAGCCGTTGGAGATGGGCACCTCCCGGCCTGAGAAGGGATGCCTGCAGGACAAGAGCCAGAGGTAGCTGTGGGGAGAGCCAGGGTCAGGTGCAGGGGGGGAAAGACACCCAACTCAGTTATCTGCAACCCCTTTATTCAAGGCAGAGGCCCCCTTCCGTAGTGTTCGCAGATGACAGTAAGCTGGGAGGAGTGGTAGATACCCTGGAGGGTAGGGATAGGATACAGAAGGACCTAGACAAATTGGAGGATTGGGCCTAAAGAAATCCGATGAGGTTCAACAGGGACAAGTGCAGAGTCCTGCAC